ACATGTAGCTAACTGTCCCTTTTTTATTTTTTTTATTTTTTTTGTTAGATAAACAGGTCATGAGTTCAAGCCTGGAACTAGAGCTCAAGTATTCAAGATCGCGTGGGAAGGGATCTGGGTAAACGTTGAAGTGCGAAACCAGACAAAATTCCGATTGGAATCACTGACCAAACTGTAGAAGATTGGGAAAAATCAGTGAGTGGAAAAGGCTGGAATCTGATGTATACAGTAAGGTTGGGGAACCCATCCCCTTAAACCACTACCTTCTTCACTCGAATACAACGTACGGTTATTATAGCTGTATTTGAGGCATCTTTCAGTGTAGATACAGCTATAATGACCGTACCGTACGTTGTATTCGAGGGGAGTAGGTAGTCGCTTTCCCGGCTACAAAACGTCCGGCACACAGGATAACACGGGGCAAAATCGTGCGTTGGGCCTACTGGAGAGAAAAGGCTGCCGGTGGCGGTGGTGGCACGATCACACTCGTGATGAGATGTTTATTCAAACCACAAGTTCACACGAGCCTACTGATGAATGACAAGCTGCTCGGCAAAACAGCTACTTAAAAAAAAAAAAAAGCTGGCGAAGCTACCTTCCAAGGCCCGCGACTGTGCCTTTTCCAAGTGGCCCGCCGCTTTAGCTACCGGCCCAGGTCCAAATGGGAATGCTCGTACCGTGTATATGGGTAAGAGCACTACTTAGCTTCATGGCTTAAACCACCAGTATTTGGTCCATACATCGGCCGCGGGGCATTGTCGTTAATGCCCCGTAACTTCTGGAGGCTCGGGGTACCGGCCCTCAAAGGCTGGCGCCGCCAGCCAAAACAATTTTTTCTTGTTGCGCTGGCGGGGCGGCGCGAAACGGCGCGCAGCCCTTTTTCAGGCTCGGGATCGATAGCTGGGGGCAAGTACTGGTGGTTTAAGGGCTGGGCAGCACAGTGCGTTGGGAAAACTACGCTTGGAGGGACTAACGGTTGAAACAGAAAGGAAGGAAAACATGGGAAAGAAAAGACCTGCCAAGCAAACATCGATGTTGCGTCTCAGCAATGTTATGTTGAGATTGCTGAGGTCCATATTGGTTCTCGATACCCAAGGTAGCTGAAACTCGTGTCTATATAGGGGAGACAGCTGTTGGCACATATCTGTGTTGGAGGGAGGCAGGAGGGGGGGGAGGGGGAGGGGGGAGGGGGGGGATCTGATACCGTGAGTGCTCTCTGGAGTCACTGGCATTCAGATGTTTAGATCAGCACGCAGTGATTTTGTCCGCCAATCTAGTAATCTTGCAATGTCAGGCCTCGCTCCACTACTATAAAACCGGCCCTTATCTGGACTGTTTTGTGCACCATGTGCGTTTCGACTGTCAGAGCTTCTTTTTTTCTCTTTTCTTTTCTTTTCTTTTTTTTTTTTTTTTTTTTTTTTTTTTTTTTGGGACAATTTGCTCCAATCTATTGGTGGGGAGCAGCACGTGCTGGAAACCGGGTCCAGCGTCCCACATGAATTATTACACAACATATGAGGTGCCGGGGCCATTACCCGACTTTGGCTAAGAATCTTTTGTCTCAGGACAAAACTGTCAACTTTAGATAAATTTGGAATGTTGTGCAATGGGTGCGGCCCATACGTCCGTTTTGGAGTATCCTATGGTCCCTATCTGAAATGCTCCCTGCAGGTGGGCTATATCGGCCAGGGGACAGCCGGTAGCATCAGGGACCATGCCAACAGGACCAATCCCTGTGCCTCCTCCCCTCAGGTCCCCTCCCCGATGAACATCAGCAGACGCTGCTCAATGCCGATCGGGGGATCCAGTGGTCAATCTCTAGCTGGCGAGCGCCCCGGACTGTACATGAGGCCAATGGGAATTGAACCCACGACCTCCTGAATGCCACTTGCGAGCCTTACCTACTGAGCTTGGATGCTGGATACGCAGAGCACTGTTAAATGAGCTTCTCCCCCCCAAAAAAAAAGAAAAAAGAAAAAACTTCAAAAAAAAAAAAGAAATGAGCTTTTCGAGTATGTTAAATTGAGTGGCAGCTTCAATGGGCGTAGCCCGGGTGGCATGCCCATGAAGGGGTGTTAGTAGACAGACTCTGGTGGAGAAGATCGTTGGGGAACCTGCAGTAGGGGGGGGGGGAAGGCTATCTGAGGGGCATCCTCCAAGATAGGACGGTCTGCGTCCTATAAATTAGTTGCTGACTGACTGCAGAAAGGTACCCGTCATGGGTCCAGAAACCAACCTCTACAACATCCTGGACTTAAAAAAAAAAGGGGGGGGGGAGGGGAAGGGAAAAAAAAAAAGAAGAAAAAGAAAAAAAGAAAAAGAAATGAACCAACCTCTACAACACCCTGGAGGGAGATCCCACTAACGATGTATGTGGAGTAGCGGATAGGGCGTGTGACACTTCGGCGCCGTTGATGAGACCAGTGATCGGCGCCGTTGATGAGACCGGTGATCGGTGGCGTTGTTTTTCTTTGTTTTCGCTGCGGGGAAACATATGACTTTTGGGGGACTCCCATTGGGTGGCATTTCTTTTGTTCTTGTTGCGGTGCTCCTCTGGGGGTCATGAGCGTGCGTGAAAATCATACCAACTTTTTTGGGTTGGATTTTTACGCACCTTCCACTTACTTAGCGATTTGCCCATGCGTTCAAAAGATGTCGAAACAGAACATTTTCCTCTCTCCTCATCATGAGGGGATGTCAGTTTGTGTCAGAGTCTGCCACAACTTGTCTGTAATTCCGTGACTCCCACGTTCGGGAATGTCGGTGTTATTGGAACAGCCACATGCATGTGAACACTTTGCTCATACACAGTCCTACAAATGTGTGTTGGCCTCATGTACATGGTCCATGAACCATCCAAATGCATGCACCGCCTGTCTGTCGCTTGAGGCTGTGCCACCAGAGACACCGGCCGTTTAGGAATAGCTCCATGCACAGGTTGTTGTACGGTGGCCTCTCTTGTGCCCTATTTTCTCACCTGTCTGCACTCCCATCGCATTCGGGGTGGCGCGTGCGGTCTGAATGGCCTCAGCATACAATGACGGTGAGTCTGTTGGGAGGACTGCTTGGCTGCTCCAGAACTGGGAGAGACATGCACACAGGCACGCCGCGGGACCCCGCTCGTACGCGGTTGTGGCTGTTTTTCTCAGCTTTGCACAGTCCTCTCCGGTGTCTGTCACATTCTATTGATGTGCACATGCATGCCTTTATGTACATTTACATAGATAGACAGAGAGAGAGACAGATAGATAGATGGGGGAGAGAGAGAGAGAGAGAGAGAGAGAGAGAGAGAGAGAGAGAGAGAGAGAGATGGACAGTGGTCTCTTAGTCATTGTTTTCCTGGCTCTCCAGATAATGGAGGACGCTCATCGTTTCCTCGAGTCCATGAATGACTTCGCTTGCGCGGCGGATCAGCAGCGGCCGTTCTCCATTCTATTGTCGTCCTCGGGCCTGGCAGGTACAGGAGATGGATACATCCAATCCTCTATTTGCACCACCAACTCTCAGATTTGTGTGCACACGGCTGACAGCTTGCCGAGGGAACCCCCACGATCGTGGGTGATGAGGCGAGGAGATGGTCAGTGGGGCAACATGACCGTCCAGGACGATGCTGAGGACGTCTTCTACAAGACTTTAGTCTGAATGAAACGATCCACTTTCAATCACATCTTGGTCGTAGTGCAGCCGAGTCTGACACGGCAAGTCACGCGGTTCAGACGCCCTCTCGCTCCTGCTAATTTTTTAGCTTACGCCATTCATCGGTGGGCCACCGGAGATAGCTTTCACCATAGTGCGTGGGGTTATCAGATGGGAACGACGAGCGGGCTGAGGTACGTGGACGACGTGTCAGAAACCATCATCAAGTGCTTTCCTCATGCTATCTCCTTCGGCACAGCCGCCGATCGTGAGGCTTCCATGGCATACTATGCAGCCCATGGTTTCCCGGATTGCTAGGGGTGCATTGATTGCACTCATGTATATGTCGATAAGCCCGCTAATGTGTGTGGTGACACATATTGTTTTGGCAGAACGAAGCGGTTCTCGGTTGCGGCGCAGCTTGTGTTCGACCACAATCTTTGTATATTGGACGTGCACGTGGGTCTTCCTGGCACGGTCCATGATTCTCTAGTTCTCAAGAACAGCTCATTGTACCGGCGCGCTTGTTCGGGTAGCCTGTTCGTTCAACATATCAGACACAGGGACCTTGCACTTGTTAACAATGTGTTGGGGGGTTACCTTCTTGGGGATGCAGGTTACCTTCTTGGGGATGCTGATCACCCCTCTATGGGCCCACTAATCGCGGTCCTGAGTACACAGTGTTTAACTCTCGCTTTAATTGGTGTGTGTCGATAGCGAGCGCGACAATGACGTTTTAGAAGGACGCTTCCAGAATTTTCACAGACCACACCGACCCAACATAAAAACCCTGCCGAGGCAGTTCCATGCGGTTTGTATACTGCATAACATTCTTATAGATAGGGGCGAGGATGTTGATGTCGTGCTGCGACGGTTGGGCCGCAGACAACGTGCCGTAGCGAACGACAGACCGGCTAGACATCATGGCGGGGCAGCACGTTCTGATTCCGCTGTGGGTAAAGCTCTGCGTCACACCCTCTGTCGTCATATCTGCCAGCGGCGGTGGAGTGGACGGGCCATTTCTGAACCCTCATTCGCAATATCTGTCAGTGGAGTTGCCCTTCCTGCCGGGTAGCCAAACAAGTCGGAGAGAGAGAGAGGGAGAGTGAGGAGGGCACCTGCCATCACAAGTGTGAGCGTATGCAATGTCGTTCGCCCCCTCTTCTCGGTTCAGATGGAACCGTCAAGGGAGTGGAACAGCTGGTGGAGCCACTACTCGTCGAACAATCACGTGATCATGTTAGACACGGGGAGAATGGCGATAGGGAATGGTATACAGATCCCATCTCGTGGAGACCAAGATTGCTGCACCGGTATAGCCCGCGAGCAAGCTGCCTCCTTGGCGAGCATAACTGTCGAAGCTCTACGGCTGCTCGAGTTGATTTATGCTGCGGACGAGACGGCGGCAGCTGTTGTCAATGAACGGCATGAGACCCTCGTCACCTCCCGGCAGCCACTTGCGGACAACAGTGAAGATATCGGGTTTTGCACACCTTGCGCGAGATATAGGTAATATCTCTCGCCTCGCATAGTTTCTTCACTTCCCGCCATTCCTTCGCCATCAACTTGGACCTGGTATCCAGGATATTACTTACTAAATTCCCTTTACTGCACGATGCTGGGTACTCTTTCACTGCGGAGCCGTTCTTCATCGGCGTGCTAGCCTTCCTCCTCAGGTTTTTCTCATAGTCTGCTTTTGACATGACCCTTGCTTCCTCTTCCCAGTCATCCAGTGTTGTGTAATTCTTCGCTATTCGCTTCCTTCTTGCTCTCTTCGGTGGTACTTTTGAGCCATCACCCGCCGGAACTTCTTCCTCCATAAGGTACGTATCGAGTCCATTCGCAAACACCTCCCTATCTTGTTTCGGGGTCTTGAAATTTATTGCTAACGCGATCTGGATTTCCGTTTTTATTTCCGCTCGGAAATTTCGCAGGTCCCTTGATACTGCAGCTATCATTCTTAGCTTCGCCTCCTCAATCTTTCTATCTCTCCGGTCGCACTCCTCCAACATCATCCTTCGAATCTTCTCATCACGCCTCTCCTCTTCCAATTGTTGCTTTCTTCGTTCAACTTTTATCCTTCTTCTCTCCTCCTCCGCCTTCTTGTTTTCCTCTTCCTCCATTTCCTTCTGCATCTTGCAGTCTGCCCATCTAACCACTCGGTTTATGCTATCTTCATTCTCCTTCCTTGATTGCCAGTACTTCGCATTGTTAGCAAAGGCGCCTTGTCCCCTGCCCACTGGGCAGTCTCTCGCAATGTGGCCGGCTTGGTTGCAATTGAAACAGATGGTCGAGCTACTTGCTCCACCTGCTCCGGTTCCTGCATTGCCTAACGACGCCATGTTGTTACTGCACGAAGTTCAGTGGCTAGTTCTCTCGGGTCTCCCTTAGTACCTGTAGACTCTGCTAACGCTTGCCACTGAAGTTCCTTGGCCCACATATCTTGCTATAAACCTTGCCTCGCCGTTGCCTGTAGCCTTGCTAAAACAAACTCGTCGTTGCCCGCAGCCTTGCTGAAACAAACTCGTGAAACTCTTGCACCACAAACGAGTAGTCGACACAGCCACCAGTGTGAGTATCTCCTCTCATCCGGTTACCATGCTACACAGAATAGTGGAAACAGTGGCCAACTACCTTACGTACACGCTTCGAATGCTCATCAATACATAGCGGCACATACTCATCTCAACTCACGCGCACATTCCTCGACGCGTTTCGATCGGTTGCGCTCCAATCATCCTTAGGGGGCTTCCCACACACCCTCGCCTTGCGGCCCACCGATCACACCTTCCTACCTTCCGAGAACAGAGGGCCGATCAGGCCTTGCCCTCCTATATACTGAACTCCAAGTAGGACGCTTCGTCAACACGGCACGTCCTCCCCTAACGGGCACTTCCGCGAGCTACTACGGCTATGGCTGAACTGCCACATAGACGTTGCGTCGAGCGCTATATTGTTCGTTACGTGTCGGCCCTTCACGAGCTACGTAAGCTTTGAATTGTTGATGCGACGACTGAGCCTGCAGGCCAGCTTTCCCCGCATGTTCACGTGCTGAGGTACCATGCAGCGACTAACGTCTCTTTCCTTGCCACTAGTCATTCCAACGATCAAGTTTCTTCTTCAAGCAGTCTTTCACTAACAACGAGTTCCCATTGGACAACTCCTTCCTCCGTTCTAATTTCCCATTGGGCTAATCCGAGCGTCGCGGATCCCCACCTAAAAGACTGGTACGTGGCTCCGTGATCCAGTCAGTTACAAGTGTGTACGCGCATGACCTGTACGAATTCGAAATCCGACACACCGTGACCTGTACAACTTCAAAACTCCGACACCCATATTTCTCGCTCTTTTTGAAAATGTGCGGGTAGTCCGGTAGTACCGTGCCTGGGCTGCCTTTCTGGCAGCGGGGCTACCGTGGCAGTGCCACGTAATTTCTAGGGCACAAAATTAATTCACATATGCCAGTGTCGGCGCGAATACCCTTACAAGGGTATCCGCCCTGGTTTCTGCAAAAGACAGAAGGTAAGTTTTTTTTGAAATTTAAGTATATTGCGCGAGTCGCGGTTGCATCTTGTTAACGCTGACTAAATGGTTGACTAAGAGAAGAGAGTGTGTGAGCGCGTCGTTTTGAGGCGCACGTGATGATTCTTATTCTGATGCTATAGAGTCGGCGTTCCCGCCAACAAAATTTTGACTTTTGATTAAAACTAGGAAAGGTTTTCTTTTCGACCGTAGTGTACCTGCGTTCATATGGCGTGCGTCATCGGAAGTGGGTTTGCTTGAGCAGAAATTGGGGCGTGCGAGAGAAAATAAAACGCGAGCAGTGGCCTCCGCACGGTAGATGCAGGAGGTTGACAGTCGTGGACGGAGCCAGGCCCTATGAGCAGCGGGCGCCATGAGTCGGTGGTCGTGAGTTTGGTCCGTAGGCGAAGGAGTGGCCTTGAGGTATTTTAGTATGTCTGCGTGCCGTGCGGCAATAGTTTATATTGAATTTTGCAAGTAGTTCGTATCAGCCTTGGGAATAACACTATTGGTTACGACATTGGACTCTTAGGGCCGAAGTACAGGGATCGAGGGCGGTGACCGGGGACAACGGAGCATTGGAGCGGTTGAAGATGCCGAAGGGTTGAGGGCCTGACGGGGCTATCCCCGTGGTTTTTGTTGACGGCCCACCCGCGGAAAGGGGTCAGCGGAACTGAGAGAGGTACCGACGGTTTCCCTTCCTCAAAAGCACCATTTTTAAATTTTAATTTTTTCTTTATTAATTTTTTGTCGGTCCCGTTTTTGATGGTTTTGTAGGTACCAAGGCTGTCTGTGAGGACCAACGGGCTTGGCTCGGTTGATACAACCATGAGCTGTTGAAACACGGACTGAGGAGTTCAATGTGCATGCGAGCCGGAGGGGGTCTGACCCGCGAGGCCGAAGAAAACTGAGCGGCGGGCCCCCCTGCGCGAGCACGGTCTGTTCCCTGCGATCCGCTGTGAGAGGTTTTGAGTGTCGGTATGCCGTTGGGGCTGATGAGGGACAAGACTGGTCATACAGATTTTTGCTGAAGTCCCATAGGTGCCATTTGTGTGCCTATTTGTCGGCGGCCTGTGGAGCCGCAGGGCCAAGAAAATTGCGGTCACCGTCACCGCTGGAGGTGACCGGAGATGCTCATGAATTGGTTCAAGGGAGTTCATGCACAATTTGTGGATAGCTCTGTGTGACCAGCAAAGCACCAATTTGCCATAGCTGCAGACGGCCAGGGTCGTGTCCCGTCTGAAAAGGTACAGCAGTGTGTGACCTGAACCATGCCCAAAACCTCAAAGTTGCCCGTCCCAAATCGGCATAAATTTGCAGGTTTGGGGCTGCAGTGTGAGTATGCTTGAGCATGCCCATTGGGGCCCGAAAGACGGTGAACTGTGCCAGGGCAGAGTGGCCCAGGGCAGAGTAGGGGTGCCCGCAGTGGTAACAAGCTGGTCACATGGAGCCCCTCCCCTTTCTGCTGTTTTTCTTTATTTTTATGTTTTTTTTATACCCTTTGGTTTCAGGATGGGGTGCGGCCCAGGCGTGGGTCTCGAGGCTGGCAAAGGTACCAGTGGGCCTAGCTCAGTTGGTACACACATGAACTGTACAATGCAGATCGGATCTGGGGGCTGTGCCGTGGGGCTTTGAGCCATCTGCGTCCTTCAGGACATCCGTTAAAAGTGGAATGCTACAGGGAAGATTTGCATGGCCCCTGCAAACATGGTCATGGTACTGCCGTGAGATGTTTAGATCGGATGACAGCCGCACCACTGCAGGCAGGCGCATTCAGGTTCGTACCAACGAGTGAATACGGCAAGATACAGGTAGGGAAGTGCAAGTGTGACTTCATTCCTGTGAAAAGTGGGGGATCGTTTTCCTCGATTTTTGCTTTTTTTTCCTGTTTCTTTTATTTCCTTTCTGATGCCACTTTGAAGATGGTCCCTCCCCTCGCCGGTATCGCCCACCTGCAGGTCGGGGGCAGCCCCCTCATGTTCTCTTGTGAACACGGGTCTGGCTGCTATGGGGTTCCCCGTATGCCTACAAGTAGTAGTAGTGGTAGGTAGGCAGTATGAGGTGAAATTGAGAGAAGAATATACTAAAAAAAATAATAATAATAAAGATGGTCTCATTTTTATGCCCCTTTGCCTTGAGGGGTGAACCTGGTGCCGTGCTTGATCAGATTCATCCCACGCTGTAGGCTGCGAGGAACACTATATGAGGTGAGCCCGGCAGCGAGGCACAGGGACGCTGCAGTTTTGAAGACAAGCTGTGGTAGAATTGCATAGTGGCAAGCATCGTTACGTGGGAACGCGTGCGTTAGCAGCAGACGAGGCGGAAGAAAGGGAAGAAGAGGATAACGCGGGAGATGATGAAGAAGCCAAGGAAAAGAGGGTGAACCCAGACGGGAATCTGCGCTAGGTGCATTTAAAAGCAGAGATGAAGATGGCGGTCAGAGGAAGAAGGAGAGCGGGAGGAAAAGGGCAGATCTCGGCCGTTCCTTGACGGAAAAGGGTGAATGAAGACTCAAATCCGAGGTTCTGGGCTATGGCGAGCCCGGATTTGATGTTAGTTTTAGTAAAAAGTTAGTAAGATAAGAGTTAGTAGTGAAAAGAGGTGCGCGAGGGATTGGAGATAGTGAACGTGGTGAGGCAGAAGGGCTCAGATCTCGCCCGTTCCTTGATGAAAACGGGCAGGGGAAGGTGCTGAATGGGGGTTTTAAAGGTCAGCGAGTCGCAATCTGCGATTAGAATAGGGTGAAAGTTAGTGGAAGAGAAGTTAGTAGGGAATGAGGCTGCGAGGGAGGTGTTGGAGAGGTGGATATGGCGGAAGAATATGTTGCGTAGCTCGCTCATTTCCCGACGAGAACAGGTAAGGGAGGAAGCAAGGTGGGGGTTCCTGGCGAGCTCGAGGGTGCATGCAAATCCCATGATGAGAATGCGGCTTGGGCGCCTGGGACTCATGGGCTGCGCCGAGGCAAGTAGGCTAAGGAATGACAACGTATATTGCCAATTTTCAGGGGCGGAGTCAGTCAAAATTTGTTCGTTCTAACGAAGGCAGAAGCGTGAAGGGGGGCGTGAGGTTCGAGACTTACCTGCTGGAGATCGATTCCGAGTCGGCTCGTCCAAGTGACTAAGGAGAGTGGGGTCAGTCGAGGAGTTGGGGACTTACCTATTACCCGGCGTGTTGCCCCTCCTATCAATGGAAAACTCTCTCTCCACCTCGTGCATGCGCACGACAGCTCACGTACCTGACCCTATTCTACCGAAAAGCTCAACCGAGGCAATGGCGGGCAGGCAGCGAACAAACCGGCAGACTTAAGTGTCGCAGAGAGAGAGAGAGAGAGAGAGAGAGAGAGAGAGAGAGAGAGAGAGAGAGAGAGAGAGAGAGAGAGAGAGAGAGAGAGAGAGGACTCACTTCGACATAGAAAGCGGTGAACTGACGGAGAGGGCTGAATCAAGGGAACTAGCTTGTAAATGGATGAATCAGCAGGGAAAGAAAACCCCGTGGGACTCAAATTTTGGCTCGTCTCTGTGTAATGATCCGAGAGAGAAGGATTGACAGGCGCAGGGCTTCGCAGAAACTATACAGCTGTTAGCAGATTAGGCAAGTGTCATGAGGTGAGCTCGAGGGAAGAGAGTTCATCTGGTTTGGTTTCTGATGCGTGCACGGGTGGTGAGGGCATGTATGGGATCCTGACGGAGGGCCGTACAGTCGACATCCGCACACACTTTGGCTGGCACTGCTGTCTCATTTCATAGTAGCCACAGGCTGCTCTTGGACCACGGTCGTAGCCAACGTGCCTCGGATCAAGGGAGGTGCGGGCATTTGAGACAAGTACGTGGTGGGTCTGCTGGGCAGAGTGCGCAAGAGTGTAGAAGGTGAAGGGCTTACCTGCTAGTTAAG